ACAAAAAGAATTAAAAAGGGCCAAAAAAAGAGCTGGAAAGGGGTTTGGACGAGTTTCACAGTGAAAGAACGTCGGTTAGAGAGTGTTCGGGCAAGTTGGCAAATTGCCAGGGACGGCAAATTGGCAACTTGCCAGAGACGCAATGTGTTGTCTGCAATAGCATGCAACACATTGCGTCCCTGGCAATTTGCCAATTTGCAATTCAGGGTGGGTCCTGGCGCGATTACATGACACTGTGTCGTCTCGACACTCGTCTAACGTGACACCGATCAAGGGGCGGAGGGCGACCGTGGATATCTGTCCGGCCCCTGATTGTGCCCTATTCAGCCGTTTTCCGACCTCATTCCTGCACAAATGGTATCAGAGGGGGCGTCGAATTCAAACTATGTGCAAATGTCCGAAACAATGTTTTTGTTAACAGTGCCTTTAAGAAGGTGAAAGCACCAAAACGTCAGCCTAATAAAGCTTGTTAATATCTCGGCTCTACAGCTTGAAAAATAACTTCAAAACTAAAGGAAGAATGCCGAGATTCATCGACAGTCGCACATGGACATTATTTGTAGTCATGAAGTATATCATACTGCAAGATAAGTGAATTTACTAAAGGCTAGGGCAGAGGTGAAGCTATCTTGCATCTAACCCTCTTTTTTGATTGATATCCTTTGGAAGTTGTGAAGAATCTTTGCTAGTGTATAATACACAATTGTCAACTGCCATACTTCTCCACAGGAACGAAAATTCAGTGCGGCACCCGGCTCTTACAGTAATCCGGCACGTGTTAACACGCAAATTTTTACCCGTCATAAATGTTAACAAAGTTCTTATTCATGCTATTATAGCATAAAAGGGTTTTATTGTAAGAGCCGAGTGCCGGGCTTAACCTTCGCTTTAGTCACCTCTCCACTCCTCTCGTAAGCTGTAATCTCCTAGGAGCATTGAACAAAAAGCGCCATAGAGGCCGCTGAGCGGGTGGCACTCTGTTTTCAACCGCATCAGCACATCCCAATCGGCCGAGGAAGGCCATCTCTACCGGTTCGAGTCTTCGAAGCAGTCGTTCCTGCGGGATCCTCCCACCAGGGCGTAATATGTTATCAATTGCCGGTGATACGGGCTAAGAGGGTTACGAGAGTTCAAGCTTTGGTCACTGGATGATTCCTTAGCCTTAAAGCGCCTCTTCAGGTTATCCACACAGCGCCTGATGGCACAGTGTTTATCGCATTCTGGTTGATGTTCCTTATTCTTAGTTGTGTCGCCGGAATAGTTTTCGGTACGCTATGCTGTTCAGCACGTTTTTCTTGACCATTCATAGGAACCTGTAAGGATCATACTCGGAAGCTGAATGAGGGAATTCTATACTGAGAATGATAGTCACTCACTTGGAAAGTATGTACTCTCTCCCATGCGAAAAACTATCATTACCGCAAGAATTTCTGAATACAGCCCGTGATTATGATTCAGCCCATTCCTTATCATGAATCTCAGGTTTCCGTGTAGTTCAGACACCTGAGATTCTTGATAAGGACTAAGCGGGCCGGACTCCTTCCTGTGGATTGAAAAGTTTCTATATGAGGGGGGGGGGGGGGGGGNGGGGGGGGGGGGGGCTCGATTCGTGTAAGCCTTACCAGCTGCTTTCTACGTATAGATCCACTGTGGGCAAGTACGGTGGGGTAGGTTAACCGATCTAGTAACTGAGTATATCCTATCACTGGAAAAAGGTATTTAATCAGGAATTTTCAGCTGGATTCGCTCTCTCTGCAGCAGCAGTAAGGAGTAGATTATTGGCTACAACATTCGAAATTGTTGAGTACGAGCTGCTTGACAATGTACGTTCATGGATGTACTGTTTGTCAAAAACTTCCATGAGCGGTGAGAGAGGAGAGGGAGAGGAGATATCAAACGTTGCTCTTACCAAAATCAAACGTGTTACTTTAGAGAGGGCTCATTTCTAAGTCATTTAGTACGAGTGGGTGGGTGGTGGTGTAGTGCCCACGTGACGCCCAATGACATTCATAGTCCGGGATCGGATCCCGACTTGTACTACTCGTCCACCAGGCCCACCCAGCCTTTTATTTTTAGGGTTGGGTCCATCGGTGTTCAACGATCCAAAAAGAGATTGATCGACTACAAAAGACTATAGACTCGAAGTATTGGTGATGTGTAACACCCAGAGAGTACGACTTTATTCTGCCAACGTTTTGTCCCCGTTGCCTTCGTTTTCAGCTGAAAGTAGTGCTCAGAATAGGGCTATCGATCGTATAAATCACAACATAAACCTCACCGGCACCTCACCTTCTAAAGCTCACCTGCACATTTGTCATTTTAATGATTCTTGGAACACGGAATGAATAAACGGAGTTTTTCAGAGGATAGAAACTTCTTCTGTTTGCCTTTGTAGCACGCTCTTTTACAGTTCTCTTGCCCATCCGATCCTGAATGGAAGGACATTGGTCAAGTCGGTCAAAAAGTTCGTTTCGATGGAGTTCAATGAGATTTGGAATTATTTTGCACTGTAAGTAAGTTGATTCGTTACATTGAGGCTGTGTTTTTCAGCGCAGCCCACAAAAGGTGAAATCCAAGGGGAGCAGGAGATTCGCAAGATTCGCTGCTAAAACAGAAGGTGGTCAAGATCCGAACGAAACTAGCCCTGAAGATAGAGAAATAATCCCCAAATCACCGAATAGTAGCAGGGAGACAAAATCCTTCAAACCAGAAAAGACTGAAGAGCCCACTCAACTGGACAGTAAAGAGGAAGAGGAGGATACTAACCTGAAGAGCGAGAACAAAACTGGAAGGACTCTAAAAACAGAAGGTGAGGAAAAAGAAGCGACAGACACAAAAAAGGATATCGAAGATGTATCAAACTAGAAATTGAACAAATCCATAACCAAGCATTCATCGGTTAATAAACATGATGTTAATCGTTATGAAAATACTATTACTTACTCCTACTACTTGGTGACGAGGGAGGTCCCAAACTAGCCAGCAGTATTCTTTGATTGCCAAAAATTAGTTCTTTTGCGAAAGTCTACGAGATCGAGGTGACCTGTTACCAGTTGTACTACATGAGTGGATAGGGTTCACTAAAAGGCTTACTACCATCCTTCAAGGGAGCCAGTGTTCAGCGAAATTCAAGATTTTACGGACGATGATAATGTTCTTTTTAAGATCCATGATGATCAGAACGAAATTTACTCCTTGATCCCGGAGGGCTACAGTATCGGTGTCCAGAAAAATGAATTGGTGAATTTTTATTGTATTTAACCACGATACATCGCTGACGACCTGAACATACAATCAGATTGATCAATTACTTTCGATACTTTCCATCATCAGTATCGGTGGCAAGGGGAAGCAAAGAAGAGCAGAATTTTAGTGCCGAAGGAAAAAATTATGACTTATGTATGGTCTCTTTTCGCCAAAGAAGCACTCAAAAGACATCGAATAGAATGCCTCTAAAATCTTGTGGGGTGGAGTAATGAGGGGTGATAGGGAGGGCGAGGAAGGAGCCAAAGCATTCCACGCTTCAGATGAGCTTTGTCGATTCTGCAATTAGAAAAATACTCTTTACACAGAGCTAGTAAGTTGTAAGTTGCAGACTAGGTTTCAGCTTTTTAGGCTTAGCTCATCTATTTACTCACGCATACGGGTCTACGTAATCAAGTCAATGTTATGTTGTAATTATAGTTATAGCTAAAATGCGATTATCAAAACTATGATCAATCTGAATAACATTGAATTGGTACAGGTAGGTATATGGTGTCCCAGAAAGTTGTCCTTATCATTAAACTTCAGAAAACAAAGGAGGAATGAGCTCCTCATTCGATTGACCTGTAACGGTATTCCGAATGTGATGTCGATTTTCATCTTAATTTTCGGCGTACGTTCTTTGAAACTTGGCTTTCTTCAGTCCAAGGACACTTGTGAGTTTTTGATTGCAAGAAATCAGGTTAAAGGCTTGAGGTAGGCTCCTTAAAATGACTTCTTGAAATTCCCGAGCTCGCTGTAAGCTGGGAGAGGGGCTCTGACGTTCAATGTTTGACGTAAGAACCAACTACTTAATCGAATTAAGCGCAGTACTCAATACCGATCCATTTTCGGCAGACTGCTTTTAGTCCGTGAATCTACAAATAGCGTTGCTCTAGCATCGTTCAAAGTGGCAAGGCTTCAATATTGATAACCGTATACACCGTGGCAGACAATATTGTATCGTGGGAGACAGGAAGAATATTGCCTTGTATTATCCATTATCGGCCCTCACCAATTATTATCGCGTTCTATCGACAAATCAAAAAGTTCTAAAGCTTCTAATGCTACAGTTTCGTGGCCTCTATCACGCATTATCCCCAAAAGTTGATTAGCTGTTATCGCCAACGTGAATGCCCTAACCCGGTCCACGTATAACCAACCTATCACCGGAGGGCTAAAGGGCGTTATAAAATTTTCAGTCAGCCTTGTATCAAACCTACCAACAAACGCTCTTTGTGGATTGCCCTTATACAACGAATATTAGAACGATTATTCAGCATTAATCTTGTTCTGGGATGCGTCGGTCGACTTTCGGTCAAAATCGTAGTGAGGTCTACACAATGAATTGCCGATCTACGTCTTTCCCAAACGTCCCGGTAAGAATGAAAGGTTTCACTCGACCTAGGATAGAGGAAAGGTTCTGTTGTCTAAGACAACTCGATCCAGGATTCGATTCCCAAACTGAATGTGTGCGATATGGCGCCAGTTGCCACTGCCCTTTTCCACCCACACTGAGTAGTTCTAGATCTGTTCTCTGATTTCATTTTTACAGCACTGTTTTGAAAGTTAATCATTTTCAGAACAAATAGATAGAATAATTACTCTTTTAGAGTACGGCTGTCGCTTTTTCAAGATTCTGAATGCAAAGTTCAATGAGGGCTCGTCGAACAGTTCATCCTTGTCGCCAAAGAAGGCTTTTCATTTAATTCTAGCTTTCAATACTGGTGCTATGATCACTGTCGTCGTTGCAAAAGAAGGTGAGCGTACTGGTTAAGTAGCCGGTTCGATGGTAAGAATATGTCCAATTTATGGTCACTAGCATAAGGAACTGTGACGATAACATCAAGAATCGCTACGCGATGAGAGCACCATTTTCGGTAGTTTTCGCTCGCTGTCTCAACTTAGCCCCGAACGCCAGACCTACTTCGAACTATCGTTCGATGTCGCTTCATGTTCTGTCCTATAGAAACCACAGTTTCATAGGGAGCATTTTTTTTTAAATTTTCATGACGACTTTCCAACTGCACTTTATTTTCTTGCTTTTCAGTCGAATTTTTTTACCTAATTCGGTGGAAAAGATAGGGGTGGATTCGGTTGTCGATGTGGGGACTAGCATTCCTGAGATTACTCTTCAATAGCCCTCCCCATTAGCCCTGTTTTCAGATGTGGCGTATTATTCCAAAGTGGATATTTCCACCACTGCTTATTGGTGCAGTATTTCTTGATTTGATTGTGAAAGTATTCTCGCCAATTTATCCATTAGAAGTTAAAATAAGGATAAAAGCAGTACAAAGTTACATTGAACAAGTCAGACATAGGGTGAGTAAAGCCAGTTTTGAGATTGGAATTCAGTTAGCTAAAATTACTTCAGGTATCAGTGGAAGGTTTAGAACGAAATCCTCAGTTCGCGAGCTTCATCAGACGAATGGTAGAGCAATTGAAACCTCATGGTTCCAGTTCATTTATGGTAATTATGGTAAGGTTTTTGAATGTTGCGACCACTTTTTTACCCGCTCTTCAACTGAATTTCTTTTTAATTTGCTTCAATATCTCAAAGTAAAGTAGTACATCTCTCTATCCTTTATCATCTTTTTATGGTTGTCCTCTATCTCTTCTGACAGCCTCCCAAGACCTTTCCGACATACTATTCACTTGTAGAAATTTTCTTTTACTTTAATTTGTATAAATCGTAAATTCCCTTCTCAATGAACTTTTAATTAGACCAAGAGGTGTATAGCTGATAGCATATGAGAGGGAAGGTTAGGCTACCATTACGAGAGTTTCGTTAATGTCATCTATGGGGTGATGAGAGGCTAACGAAGTTGGCGAGTTAAAGGCTTAGTTCACAATAAATTTAGGGTACCAATTTTTTGACGGGAAATGATAGATCCACTCCAGAATAATGCGTTAACAACGAAGAAAGCGCAAAAAACGACAAATAAAAAGGAATAAAAAAGTTCAAAAAAGAGGAGAAAGGGGGGCTGGACGAGTTCCACAGTGAAAAATGGCGGTTGAGGGAAATGCGACGCAATGTCTGCAATTGCACACAACACACCCAAACCGCTGATTTTGCCTTCACTGTTGGGCAAACACTGGGCAAACAGCTGATTTCGTGCTGAAGGGTGGATCCTGACGCGAATACATGACTCTGTACGCGTCTACATCTCGTATGACGTGACATGGATCGAGGCGCGGGAAAGCCAATCACGACAGCAACAAGGCTTGCGGAGTACGGGTTCGAGCTCAGTACGAGGCCAAAGTTTTTTTACGAACCCGTACGAGAAAGGAGTTGGGTCTTCCTAAAGGGAGGGCTCGGTAACCTTTTTTACCGTGAACCGTGCCCTTAAGGACAAAACTTTGGCCTCGTACTGAGCTCGAACCCGTACTTTTGCTTTTGCCGAGTCTAATGCTACTAGTAAAAGTATCTTGGTTGTTTGATGAAGAGGAAGCTAACAAAGACACGTATGTACGTCCCCTTCCCGTCGGATTCAACACGATTCCGATCCTTTATATATTTATTAAGCAGTTTCTAGTGTTAGCTATAATTCTGATTCAATCTTTTGTATATTCATTTGCCTGGGTTTTTGGTAATCTTGAAGGATTCCAAGTTTTTAAATCGTACCTGTAATTAAGGCGCAAGAAGGAAGCTACCCATGGATAGAAAACTTCATGTGTAGCATTTCACAATTCGATTTGCATCCACATATTTCCATAGTGACTGTCGATCGTTATACTACAATATCAATCAACGCCAAATATCCGATGCTTTCCGTATTTGAACTGAACTTCGACGAACTATTTGTGGGTTTGTTGAAATCCATTTTGAACGTGTTGTAATTCGACACCAACCAACCAGTACGTGTATTTGTTGAAATCCATTTTGAACGTGTTGTAATTCGACACCAACCAACCAGTACGTGTAGCGAAGATTAGAAGTAGATAGTTAGTTTCTGAACACTTCTCCTTTATGTAAGTAATGTGCTAGGTTCATCTGTGCTGGGCATGCGTGGATCGGTATCTGCCACGTGCGTGCATATGTGTACATGGGTATGTATGAATGGGTGTAGGTGTATGTTTGAGTGAGAGTGTACGGGTGTATGTGGATAGGTCTGTATGTGTGTATGAGAGCGCGTGCATGCATATGTGTACGTGGGTATGTTTGAATGTGTGTAGGTGTATGTTTGTGTTTTGTGTGAGAGTGTACGGGTGTATGTGGATAGGTCTGATGTGTGTATGAGAGCGAGTGTATGTTTGTGTGTGTAGGTGGATAGGTATGATAGGGTTAGTGTGGGGTGGATGTTTCTGTATGTATGAATGTAGGTAGGTATGTACATATGTGTGTGTGTGTGTGTGTGTGTGTGTGTGTGTATGTGTGTGTGTGTGTGTGTGTGT